AGCTACAGATGACTTGGGGAACCTCCTAAAGAAAATATAAAATCACCCCCAAAGCAGGGCTATGTTGGCAAATGTTTAACAACCAACTCTCATAATATTAATAGTTATTGTGCTTTATATATATATATATATACGTACACATACACACACACACACATACAGAGGACTCAGTTTAAAGTTTAATTTTCATGAGGCAGCTAGGTGGAGCAGTGGATAGAGCACTGGCACTGGAGTTAGGAGGACCTGAGTTCAAATCTGGCCTCCGACGCTTGACACTAGCTGTGTGACCCTGGGCAAGTCACTTAACCCCATTGCCTAGCAAAAAAACCCAAAAAAACAAAGCAAAAAAAATCAAAGTTTAATTTTCATTATTAACATTTTCTCTATCATTTTCTTAAATCTTGACAATCAACAAAAATAAATCAAGTCCTGATTTGTAGCATTTGTAGATTTTCAAGGTATAAATGCTCATACTGAAAATTTAACAACTGGCTTTCTGGAGCTGATATGAGCTAGTTCCAGAACCCCAGTTCAAAAAGATTGGTTTAACCATCCACACAGGAAAATCCAAGTGAATGAAGAATGACTTTTGCCTAGATAAATATACATTTGAAAGGACAACCTCTAGAATTCATCCATCAGTCTCTGGAACAAGCACTACAGATAGAATACAAGTTGGGCCTAGTATTGAATGAAGGCAGTGGGCTGGATTACCTTTGGAAAACTGCAGAGTCCTACTAATGACAAGCTTAAAGCTTAACAGTTAAAAAAAAAACAACAATTAAGATCATGGCATCTGGTACCATTGCTTCTTGGCAAATAGAGGGATAAGGAAAGGAAGAAGTGCCAACTTTCATATGCTTGGGCTCAAAGATCATTGTAGAGGGCAACTGCCGCCATGAAATTAAAAGACACTTGCTCCTTGGAAGTAAAGTCAGGGCAAATATGGAGAGCATCTAAAAAGCACCAACAACACCTTGCCAACCAAAGTCCATATAGTCAAAGCTATGGTTTTTCCAGTAGCAATGTCCGGTTATGAGAGTTGGATTATAAGGAAAACTGATGCAGAATTGATGCTTTCAAATTGTGGTACTGGAGAAGACTTCTAGAGAGCTCCTTGGACAGTAAGAAGATCAAATCAATCAACACTTAAAGAAATTAACTCTGACTATTCATTGGAAGGACAAATACTGAAGCTGAAGCTGAAATACTCTGGCCACATAGTGAGAAGACAGGACTCATTAGAAAAGACTCTGATGCTGGGAAAGATGGAGGGCAAAAGAAGAAAGGGATGGCAGAGGATGCAATAGTGTCATGGAAACAATGAACATGAGCTTGGACAGACTGGAAGATAGTGGAGGACAGAGCGGCCTTGCATGATAAGGGACACAAAGATCTGGATACAACTGAACAATTAATGACTTCAAACTTCTCCCTGAAACAGACTCATTTTTAAAAATAGGTATAAACGAGATGCCACATAGTGGGGGGAAAAAGAAATTGTTTAGAAGAAATTAAAAAATTTAGGTCTCCAGATGTAGGTAAGTGTCAATGTGTGTTAGTAGAGAGGTAGTGATACAACAAACCTAAAGCTATTGTTCTACACACACAAGAAGAAACTAAAGCTATTTGTTTAGAAATTTGCAACTGTTATAAGTTTTATATTTAAGGATCCTTGGGACTATATGTCATGTCCTGTATTGTTAACACTATAAAATGAACTTTGAGTTTGCTTCCTTGAGACAATTCTGTCCTTGTCTGAAACATTTTACATGTAAACGTTAAACCAGAAATAACTGCTGAGATTAACCTTGGGAGTGTATAAAGACTTTTTTTTTTTCTCTGACTGTATTATGTCACTGTCAATCTGGGAGACCACTCTTCTTGCAGCTGCATGATATGATTATATATGATAAATATGTGCCTCTAATGGAACTGATATTAAACACAATGTAAAGTTGTTTTTTCTCCAACAATTTAACAAAGGAGAAGAGGTATAAAGAACATTGAAATAATGTCTTAGTTGCCTAGGGTATAAAATGTCAGTCCAAGAAAAGTCAGTGCCCTTCATACTTGACAGATGTCTCATCGCCATTTGAATCACCAAACTCAACGTACTTGATGACTAGATTGGTTTTTATATGGAGATTGGGGATAGGGTGTGGTAAATATCCAACTAAACCAGTGTTGTATCTTTACTGAGTTTTCTTACCATGCTATATGACCTTTAAGTGTCTCCTTTTGTTCCAGTCTCAGACCTGAAGCATCAGAATACCCTGAGTTATGCTTGACCTACAATTGTTGATAGTTAAGTTGTATTTGAATGAGTTATGGTTTTTGTCGCTGAAGTAGGGGAAGGATAATTCAAAGAAGTAGACTCCTCTGAAGAAGTGAAACGATGACCTGATATAATGACCACAGGCAAGTCCTCTAGTGGGACAGAAACAAGGCTGAAGGGAGTATTAGTCTAGTAGATGCTAAAGGAGATTGATACGGAAAATAAAGGTAACGCCAAGGGGGACTTTCCCTGTTTATTGTTAATGGTTCTAGAAAATATGAATTGCCAGCATAAGGAAGATTAAAGTAAATGGTCCCAAGTGCATTATACAACTAGAGGCAGAGCTCTAAGTCTTTAAGGATCATGCCCTGAAGCAGCAGGGAAGCCGGTGAACTTAATAATACAAATTCTCTTATTCCTTTTTTTTTCCTTTTCAAAAAATTCTTTGTTATAAGAGATGGCTTTTCGGGGAGAGGGAGGAGTTACAAGGGGAAATCTTGGTTACATAAAAACAAAAGATATCATTAAAAAATATCATCAAAAAAAAATAAAGTGAGTGCAGAGTTGCTTTTGGGAGCTGGGACCAACAGACCACAGGCAAGTGGCAACTTAGAAGCCAGGCTGGGAAAATGTGTTTAATCCCACTGGGATCAGGAATATAAGAAAGAGAATGAAAGTGGGAATGAAGACAAGAACTAGGAATCTAGCCCTGTAGAGTAAGAGTCTCTGACTTATCATGTTACTACCTCCACAGTGGGGGCGGGGGTGGGGAATGGGGGGGTGGGATGGGGACGTATCAAAAGGTTGGTAGACTTTCAGCACTAAGGAACTTGGGAAGTTGCTGGAGAAGTTTTGAATGGCAGCCTAAGAACAATGACTAGTGAGGATATGGCCTGGAGTTTATTTTGGTGGCAGAATACCTTGGATTTGCAGAGCTCACAGAAGACTTACTTTTGCAAAGCCAGGTAGATCTATTTAGAGGCCCCAGATAAGGACCATCTTTGATCCCTTTTTACGTGGCTAATATGGGGGTAATTCATGACGGTGCCTTATCCATCTTTTGATGTCCACAGTGTTTAGCACATGGCCTCGCACAAAGTATGAGCTCTGTAGGTCTTAGTCAAATGGATGGCTAAATGACTGAGATTGAATTTCCATTATTGTTCTATGTACCACTCTATTCTCTGAATATCATGGATCAGCTCTATTCCTGGGTTAGGCTGGAAATTTATCACATTTATTATAATAATGAAAGGTAGAAATAAGTGGGTCAACAACTAAGGTTGGTCATGTGGCAACGGCAAACTCTTTCAGGAATAAAATGTCAGAATGGTATTTGTTACAACAAAGGAGAGAAAGCAAGGCTTAGTAGGTAAGAGCGTAGGATTTGGAGTCAGGAAGACTTAGCAGCTGTGTGACCATAGGCAAGTCACTGAATTTATCTGAGTTTCTTACAACTGTCTAAAATTTCTCTACTAAGTTATAAACAGACTACAATTTGAATCAGTGAAGGGAGTTTTCATGCCAATAAAAGTCACAGATGTTTGATTACTGGCTTATTTGTTACAACATTATTAAAACCTTTTGTTTTCTAAAGAGGGAAATGAGAGCTGCTTTTCTATACCATTTTCATTCCCTATAAAAAGCGCAGGTCAGCTACAAAGGCAACATTTTTTTTGAAGAACCAAAAGCAGCTCACTTTTGATGATCTCATTTTTCAAAATCCCATGTTCTTTAAGATGGTTAGTTTAGTTGTTTATAATCAACTAAAGTAAATGCCATCTTTCTTCCACCTTGAATTTTATATTTTACTTTCTTGAATTTCTCTTTATTTATTTCCTAATAATTCAAGTTTCTTACAAACATACTTCTCAGAAAGACCCTGACTTGTAGGATGAATAACATTTGCTCTTCTCTAAAAGAAAAGACCACATTGATGGCTAAAGACAGTAAAAGCATCACTCGAGTATCTTGCTTAGTTTTTGTTATGTAAGCAAAACTCTGCGTCCTTCCTTTTTTGGGGAAATGAATTCAATGTTTTTAAGAACAATTAAATGATCAAATCTCTTTTGGAGGGCCCTAAGTTTACTCAACTCTAGAGAAATTAGAGATTATACATTTGGCTATTAAGCTAGATCAGACCAAAAGGGAATTAACAAAGAAAAAAACACAAATTAGCACAAAATGATGAAAAGATAATTGAAAATGCTATTATTATTCTGATCTCTATTTTAAAATTATATCTTTCATTAATATTTAAAACTCTAAATAGATGGGAAAACATAAACCAATATTATGTCTATTATTTCCCAATGAGTTCCCATTTTCTAGTTTCTTATAAACATGGTTTTGTTAATACCAGAACCTTAGTGGATTCTTACTCAATGACATTTTTTCCTTTGAACAGGAAATGAGTCTCTGTACCACAAACCTTTGATAGGCCTGCAGAACTAAACATAGGAACTGGTCCTCCTATATGTTCATGTTTTTTTCTGGGTGTATTTGGGTAGGAACTGAGTCCGTATAAAGAAGATCAGCTTGGTCTCTGTGAAGAACACAGTCACGAGGGTAGCTCCCAAACACAAAGCCCCCACAATGATGTGCAGAAGCCTGGCCAGCCAACCTCTCTCACAGCACAGAAACACCTATGGGAAAGAAAATATCATTAGTGCCAGGGGCCTGTAGCCCAACCCAACCTCCCTAACATTTCACTCCAGAAGTTCCACTAGGACCACAAATAACTCCATCCCATTAGAGAACCTGAAAGACAGCCCATATTCTAGGAGTAACTGATGGAAAAAATAAAAATCTTGTTATCTCTAGTTTTTTATTCAGATCAATTAACAAGAATTTAATCTATTACGCTTGCAAGCCTGACATTTATTGCATGGTCTATCACTGACGAAGTAAACATTTAGGTATAACAAAGTCCAAAACTGAGGGGGATAGGGTAAACACTTATACTGGCAGGCACCTCAAGTTAGTGCTGGAAGAAACAGGGATATGATCTGAGCCAGAATGTGAAAAAAAAAAAAGAGAAGCTTACCTCTGAAATACCAGTGACCACTCCACTGAGCACATAGACCACAATTAGAAATGGTGAAGGAAGCAGACCTGCCAGTGGCCTGTGGGGACTCTCTCTGTAGTACCTATAGATGTAGCGTATGCTTTGTGCAATTCGAATTCCCATGTTAAAACAATTGGCAAAGATGAAGCCCACGCTACCTTGCCACTCAGTCAGGAAATAGGAAGACAACAAGAATGTAAAGGATAGGGCCAGCATGATAAAGTTGTACCTAGGAGAGAGGCAAGCAAATGAAGCTAAAAGAGCTACTTATATCACCTATACAAAAACACCTTAGCCTTCCTTTATTCTTTTCAAGGACAGAAAAGATCCGTTGTAAATAATTAAGCACAAGAAATCAGCACTCCTTTAAAATCACTAAGTTTCAATGATATTATGTTTTGCACATATAACACATATTACAGATACAGTTGGACAGAAAAGAATCAGGAAATATAAAATCACAATTTCCCCTAATTTTTAAACCAAAAATTAATGGTTTAAGAGGGACCTTTTCATTTATTAGCATACATAAAAACACTGGCTGAGTCCTGGTTACAAGAATGAACATGAAATTCAAACATAACACAAAATTCAATAAAACTGTCACAGGTACTGACAGTTTTAATATAGGTAGAATATTTTATTTTAAAATTAGGATTCAATTTCATACTAGAAATGTAGATAATATTCTAATGAATGAATTTTCTTTGGTGCTTTCCTAACAAACACACATTCTAATCACATACAAATTTTGTAAGGATTAACTGAAGCTGAGAGATTTTCTAGTATAATTTCTTCAATTTTATAAACTTGAAAATGGAGATATATAATGCTTTGTATTCTGTCCATGTTTTACATTGTTTCTATTACCTACATGATTTTATAGGCATTTTAAGACATTAATTCCTTAAATAAGGGAAACTAAGACCCAGAGGAAATGAGCCTTACAGTAAAGCATGGTGGAACTATGAACAACCTTAAAATCTCACTGATTTCTTCTAGTCTATAAATACTGCTATTATTAAGTTACTTTCAGGGCTACTTCAAACATGTGACTAGGTTCACATAACAAGGTGTTTGGCAGAACTGTGGCCTTCTAAAGTTCATCTCTTTCTGTGCTTTTGTTTGGCTGAATCAGACCAACACTTCATGGACCCGTCTGATCCCTGGTCGAAGGGGGAACTGAAAGGAGAGTCTCAATGATCGGCCCTTTGTCTAGACTTCTAGAGAAGGAGCTGTCAGGGCTGGAGGGGTGCTTAGAGATCACGTGGTTTAATCTGCTGATCTTACAGAAGATAGCACCAAGACCCAAATAGGGAAAGGAACTTGTTCTGAGCCACAGAACAAGCTAGTGACAGGGATGGAACTAGAATCCAATGCATGAGGCAGTTCCTTAATTAAAAGACCAACTTCATACTGCAGCCAATACTCAGACCAATGGTAGTGAGATAAAGCACAGCCTCCTTCTTTGACATTTTTTCCAATTAAGAAGCTGTCATTTATGTTACCCGTTATAATTCCCTGTTTCTCTGAAACTATGTCTTGGGAAGGTCTAAATAATATACCATTCCTTGGCATGGAATGAACAGTTTCACAAAACTCTCAGAGTCACATCTCCCAGTAAATCATAAAATAGATGGAACTAATAACTAGCCCATGAAAGCAGAGATTAATTCCATATTATACCCCACTCAGTTTAGAATGCTAGAGTGAGCAACTTTCAGGCTGTTCTGGTACAGCTGATGATGAAAAGTCCTGCTGTCTTCCATCAGAAGAGCAATCGACAGCTGCTGTACTTCCCAATTAGTTCCAACCAAAGCTCACCATCTATAGCCTTAAAAGCATCATATACTTTTGGGGAAAAAAATGCAAATGTAAAAGAAGCTATTAAAATACCACTTTCTCAATCAATGTAAAATTATTATATGGTGATGGTTATTATTGTTCTTTAAGGCTTAGTTAATACAAACAGAAAATTAATTTTTAATGCTTCTTTCTCAACACTCAAAAGAGATTAGACTTAAAACTGGGACTTAGAAAAATTGAGATTAAAAAAAGACACCATGCTTGAACAGTGAAGGGAATTTTAACAAATTAAATGTCATTTTATGCATCTTTCAGAGTCAGTATCCACATGTATAAACTGCTTCCATTGTTCTAAATACGACAGATTGCTTAATAGGATGGAACAAAAACTCATATGTGTGTGTGTGTGTGTGTGTGTATAAAATATTCTGAGAAGTCAACTTCAACAAATTTATTAAATTTGCTAAAATATTAACGTTAACTTAACTAAAAAATCTTGTTATTCAAAGGACACACTATTCCATATCCAGCTACATGTCCTACAGACATCTCAAAGTGAACATATCAAAAACATAACTCATTATCTTTCCCTCCAAACACGTCTTCTTCCAAACTTCACTATTACAGGTGAGGACATTGACATCCTTGAAGTCACCCAGCTCCACAATCTCAGTGAATCCTGAACTTCTCACTCTCACGTGCCCCCTGTAGTGCGTCTGTTGCCAAATACTGTTTCTATCTCTACAACATCTCTTGTATACACTATTCTCTTCTTTCCACTCACACGGTCACTACCCTAGTGCAGTCTCTTATCCTCTCTTCCCAGGACTATCGCACTAGCCTCCTAATAGGGTCTCCCTGCCTTCAGTTCCTCCTTATTCCAATCCATTCACCACAGAGCCACCAAAGTAATTTTCTTCAAGTGCAGGTTGGGTCATGTCATGCCCTTACTCAATAAACTCCAGTAGCTCCTTATTACCTCTAGGATCGTATGTAAATTCTGCCATTTGGCATTTAAAACTCTTCCTACCTTTCTAGTCTTCTCACATATCACTCCATTCCACATATTTCATGCTGGTCAAGCTGATGTTCTTCACACATTATGTACCACCGAGCTCCATGCCTCTGCACTGGCTGTCCCCTACTGCCACTAATGTTCTCCCGCCACCTCACAGAATCCCCGGCTTCCTTCAAGAGGCTTTTTCCTCTAAGGTTACTTTGGCTTTTTATGTACCATCTATACAACTACATTGTTGTTGTCTCCCCCATTAGAAGGTCAGTTCTTTGTGGGCTGTGACTATTTCAATTCTGTCCCTGCATTCACAGTTATTTGGATAGTGCCTGTCACACAAATAAATCATTGTTGTTGACTGACTGATGTAATACTTCAGTGGATCTGTGTGGGTTGCAGATTGCAACCCATTCATGTCTTCTCATCCTGTGCAATTTTTGACCAGGTGTTTCCATAAATTTATAGAAGACCTACTTAATGTCCTCCTGGAGGCCTTCCTTTGGGCCTTGTAACATTTTGTGATTGCTAGTGCAACATTCAAGCTGTCCATCTGTTCACTCCTCACTTGCTAATTAACTGGCCCACTTACTTTTCTGGTTATACATTTCATAATTTTACTTCTTTTACAAAACTTTGACAGGATATATCAACCAAGGTAAAAACCAGTTTAGATTATAAATTCACTAGTAAAATGCTGTGAAGGAGGAGGACCAAAGAACAAAATCATCTCACAAAACAGCAAAAAAGCAGTAGAGTTTCAGGAAAATGAGGCTACAGAATATCTGGGGTGAAACACAACAAGGCCTGGTCATCCCAAGAACGGTTACAGAAGAACCAAAAAGGAAAAAAAGACAAATGGAAGTGAAATGAAACAGATCTTCATTCAGCAACATTGGAACTGCCACATTTGGACTTTAGTGTATGTCTATTATATGAGGATACAGAAATGACACAAAAATGAGATTGAGAAAAGCAGCTGGACAAAACTAAATACATGCAGACAGAAATTTAAAGGAACTTTGGAATGCACAGCAAGATATCACAAAGAAAAATAGAACAAAAACAATGGGAAAAAAAAAAGGTTGGCATGAATACCAAAAAAAGGGCAAATGAGAAGACAGTAGTATTCATAGTTTTCCTTTCCAACTCAATCCATGCTCATTCGTATTTGAAAATTTTAATATACATATTGGCATTCACTTGAACATTCTGACCTCCCAATTAATCAACATCCTCAAGTTCTATTACCTTTATTTTCACTCCTCCTCATCATACACAAGGATGGCCATATCTTAGGCCTCATCGTGACCCATGACTGTGCTATCTTCATGATCCTGAAATCTGATGTTCCTTCCTCTAATCATAACCTCCTATATTACCATCTCTACCTCTACTTCATTCTACCTAAATCTATTCTTTGTTCTCACCAGGAGCCTTGGTCCTTCTAATCCATTCTTTTCTCCCAGTCCATCCCCCTTACTTTTGTCTCACTTTTCCTTCCTTCATCGTTTTGAGCTTACAATAACCAAACGTGTCCAGCAATTTAAGGTTTACAAGCCCTTCATACAGATTATTTCCAGTGAGCCTCAATACAACCCCATGAATCCTTTGCCTCCCCATCCCATCACTGTTCACAACTTGCCAAACTCCATCTTTGTGTTACCCCACCTTCCACTTCCTTCACAACTACTCACGTGCTGCTCAACACTGCTACACAAAGCCACACAATCATCCTGAGTGGTTCCACCACATATCTATATTAACTACTATCAAGTGACCCCTCACTGATGCAAAATAATCCTTTTATTCTTCCTTGATTAACTACAGTATGTCCCAGAGAAGCTATTCTAAGCCTTCTTCTCCCTCCTCAACCTCCAACATCACCTCCGAACTAAGGGACCTGGCCTTATATATTACTGAGAAAACAGAAGCCATCTGTAACAAACTCCCTCTTCTCTTCCTCACACCTTAACCCTATCAGATTTTGTCATTTCTAGCTCTCTTCTCCACACACGTCCCTTCTTCTCGCCCAGATCCACCCCGTGAACCTTGCGCTAGTTCTCAGGAGATCACCCCCTCGTTTGTTTCCTCTCTTTTGATTACTGCTGATCTTTCCTTACTCATTGGCTCCTGCCTGCCTGCCTAAAACATGCCAAGGTGGCCCTATCCTCAAAAAACTTATTTGTCCCTGCTAAACCCTTAAACTGATGTCTTCTATTTCTTTTCCTTTTCACAGTCAAAATTCTCAAAAGAGTCATCTAATCTTGCTGCTTCCAAAGCCTTACTTCTCAATTTCTCAAATTCAAGCTTCTGACCCCACCACCCAATTGAACTTGCTCTTTCCAAGGAACTCTCTGAATCATCTCATACTATTGATCAAATCCTTCTCCTGGATCCTTCTACTCCTTTGG